CCCAGGGAAAGCTGAGAAGGGAAAATGACAGGCCACTGAGCCCAAGTACATTAGCTAGTGAAACTAAAGAAAGGAAAGCTGCAATGGAGGAAATCAAATTGAATTAGGGGATACAAAGGGATATGCAGTGGGAGAATGAAAGGGTGAGGTCAATCTTTGTGTATGGGCTCCAGGAAGTTGAAGGGGAAACATATGAAGCAAGAAAACAAGGGGAAAAAAGCAATTGAAAGCATCATGAAAGCAATAGGAGAAGACGACATGACCCAGCTGCAAAATTTTCGGAGAATAGGGGGGTTTGTAAAAAAAAGAACCCGGCCAGTGAAAGTGACCTTCAAGGCAGAATCGACTCGGAACAGGATCCTGCAGGAGAAAGCACGATTAAGGGACATGCCGGCATACAGGAAGGTGTATCTCGACCGCGACAGAACACAAGCAGAAAGGCAGAAACAGAGAGAAATGGCACAAAGGCGAAAGGAGGAAAGAGAGGGGATGGAGAAGACTGACAGGAGATCCCAGACACAGGAAGATCAAATACAGCCTCCCTCACAACTTCCTATAGAAGCCTCCCAACCAGGTCAACCCCAGTGCAACCAAACACTCTAAACCAAAACACCCATGCCACATCCAATGCCCCCACCCACTGCATTACAAACTCCACCCCCAGAGCAACCACCCATAGTTCCTTATCAGGTCTCCCACTTCCCCAACCCCAATACACCTCCCAGACCACAATCTTAGAAAAGAAGTTGAAGGTGTGGTATACAAATGTAGACGGAATAACAAATAAGTATGAGGAGTGGCACGAAAGAATCAAGGAGACATCCCCAGACATAATAGCACTCACAGAAACAAAACTCACCAGAATAATAACAGATTCAATCTTTCCATCCGGATATCAAATCCTCAGGAAAGACAGAGGGAGGAGAGGGGAGGAGGAGTTGCACTGCTCATTAAAACCAGTGGGGGTTTGAGAAAATGGAAGGAATGGATGGCACGGGCGAAAGGGACTACTTAGTAGGAACAATCCAGTCTGAGAGACATAAGGTGATAATTGCAGTAATGTACAACCCACCACAGAACTGCAGGAGGCCAAGAGAAGAATACGATGAGAGCAACAGAGCAATGGTCGACACACTAGCCGAGGTGGCCAGGAGAGCACACATGGGGGGAGCAAAGTTACTAGTTATGGGTGATTTCAATCACAAGGAGATTGACTGGGAAAACCTGGAGCCCCATGGGGGTCCCGGAACATGGAGAGCCAAGATGATGGATGTGGTACTGGAAAACCTCATGCATCAACATGTTAGAGACACTACCAGAGAGAGAGGATGAACCAGCAAGACTGGACCTTGTATTCACCTTGAGTAGTTCTGACATCGAGGATATCATGTATGAAAGGCCCCTGGGAGCTAGTGATCATATGGTTCTGTGCTTCGACTACATAGTTGAGCTCCAAGTGGAGAGAGCAGCAGGAATAGGGTGGGTAAACCAAACTACAAAAGGGGGAACTACTCAGGCTTGAGGAACTTCTTTCAAGACATTCAGTGGGAAAGGGAACTGACAGGAAAACCAGTACAAGAAATGATGGACTATGTGGCAACAAAATGCAAGGAGGCAGAGGAGAGGTTTGTTCCCAAGGGAACCAGAAATAATGGGAAGAACAGAACGAGTCCTTTGTTCACCCAAAGGTGTTTTGAGGCAAAAACTAGGTGTACTAGAGAATGGAAAAGGTACAGAAGACAGAGAACTCAGGAAAATAAAGAGATTAGCCGAAGAGCCAGAAACGAATATGCACAGATAAGAAGGGAGGGTCAGTGGCAATACGAAAATGACATAGCATCGAAAGTCAAGACTGACCCGAAGCTGTTGTACAGCCACATCAGGAGGAAAACAACAGTCAAGGACCATGTAATCAGACTGAGGAAGGGTGATGGGGAATTCACAAGAAACGACCGGGAGGTATGTCAGGAGCTCAACACAAGATTTAAAGAAGTATTTACAGTGGAAACCAGTAGGACTCCAGGAAATCAGAACAGGGGGGGGGGCACCAGCAAGTGCTGGATGAGGTACATATAACCAAGGAGGAGGTGAAGAAGCTGCTATGCGAACTTGACACCTCAAAGGCGGTGGGACCCGACAACATCTCTCCGTGGGTCCTTAAAGAGGGAGCAGAGACATTGTGAGTACCATTAACAAAGATCTTCAACACATCATTTGAAATTGGGCAACTCCCCGAGGTATGGAAGATGGCAAATGTAGTCCCAATTTTTAAAAAGGGAGACAGACATGAGGCACTAAACTACAGACCTGTATCACTAACGTGTATAGTATGCAAGGTCATGGAGAAGATCATCAGGAGGAGAGTGGTGGAGTACCTGGAAAGAAACAAGTGTATAATTGGCAACCAGCATGGTTTCACGGAGGAAAAATCCTGTGTCACAAACCTATTAGAGTTTTATGACAAGGTGACAGAAGTAAGACAAGAGAGAGAGGGGTGGATCGACTGCATTTTTTTTGGACTGCAAGAAGGCCTTCGACACTGTTCCTCACAAGAGGTTACTGCAAAAGCTAGAGGATCAGGCACACATAACAGGAAAGGCACTGCAATGGATAAGAGAATACCTTACAGGAGGCAACAACGAGTCATGGTACGTGACGAGGTGTCAAAGTGGGCGCCTGTGACAAGCGGGGTTCCACAGGGGTCAGTCCTAGGACCTGTGCTGTTCTTGGTATATGTGAATGACATAACGGAAGGGATAGACTCAGAAGTGTCCTTGTTTTCGGACGATGTGAAGTTAATGAGAAGAATCAAATCGGATGAGGATCAGGCAGGACTACAAAGAGACCTGGACAGGCTACAAGCCTGGTCCAGCAACTGGCTCCTTGAGTTTAACCCCGCCAAATGCAAAGTCATGAAGATTGGGGAAGGGCAAAGAAGACCGCAGACACAATATAGTTTAGATGGCCAAAGTCTGCAAACCTCACTCAAGGAAAAAGATCTGGGGTGAGTATAACACCGAGCATATCTCCTGAGGCGCACATCAATCAGATAACTGCTGCAGCATACGGGCGCCTGGCAAACCTACGGATAGCGTTCCGATACCTCAGTAAGATTCGTTCAAGACTCTGTATACCATTTACGTCAGGCCCATACTGGTAGTATGCAGCACCAGTTTGGAATCCACACCTAGTCAAGCACGTCAAGAAATTAGAGAAAGTGCAAAGGTTTGCAACAAGACTAGTCCCAGAGCTACGGGATTGTCCTACGAAGAAAGGTTGAGGGAAATCGGCCTGACGACACTGGAGACCAGGAGGGTCAGGGGAGACATGATAACGACATATAAAATACTGCACGGAATAGACGAGGTGGACAAAGACGGGATGTTCCAGAGATGGGACACAGACACAAGAGGTCACAATTGGAAGTTGAAGACTCAGATGAATCAAAGGGATGTTAGGAAGTATTTCTTCAGTCATAGATTAGTCAAGCCGTGAATAGCCTAGAAAGTGAAGTAGTGGAGGCGGGAACCATACATAGTTTTAAGGCGAGGTATGATAAAGCTCATGGAGCAGGGAGAGAGAGGACCTAGTAGCAAGCAGTGAAGAGGCGGGGCCAGAAGCTATGACTCGACCCCTGCAACCACAAATAGGTGAGTACAAACAGGTGAGTACACACACATACACCACACACACATACACACACACACACACACACACACACGTACATTCACATGCATGCACATACAACAGGCCTAGTGTTTAATCGACATGTGCCAAGGACAAAATGGTAACTAACACACACACATGATGGAAGGGATAGACTCAGAAGTGTCCCTGTTCGCAGATGATGTGAAGTTAATGAGGAGAATTAAATCAGATGAGGGTCAGGCAGGACTTCAAAGAGACCTGGACAGACTGGACACCTGGTCCAGCAACTGGTTTCTCGAATTTAACCCCGCCATATGCAAAGTCATGAAGATCGGGGAAGGGAAAAGAAGATCGCAGACAGAGTATAGGCTAGGTGGCCAAAGGCTGCAAACCTCACTCAAGGAGAAAGATCTTGGGGTGAGTGTAACACCGAGCATGTCTCCAGAAGCACACATCTACCAGATAACTGCTGAAGCATATGGGCGCCTGGCAAACCTGAGCATAGCGTTCCGATACCTTAGTAAGAAATCGTTCAAGACTCTGTACACCTTGTACGTCAGGCCCGTAGTGGAGTATGAAGCACCAGTTTGGAACCCACACCGGGCCAAGGACGTCAATAAATTAGAGAAAGTGAAAAGGTTTGCGACAAGGTTAGTTCCAGAGCTAAGGAGAACGTCCTTTGAAGAAAGGTTAAGGGAAATCGGCCTGACGACACTGGAGGACAGGAGGGTTAGGGGAAACATGATAACGACATAAAAAATACTACGTGGAATAGACAAGGTGGAGAGAGGCAGGATGTTCCAGAGAGGGGACACAGAAACAAGGGGTCACACTTGGAATTTGTAGACTCAGATGAGTCAAAGGAATGTTAGGAAGTATTTTTTCAGTCATAGAGTAGTCAGAAAGTGGAATAGTCTAGCAGATGATGTAGTGGAAGCAGGAACTATACATAGCTTTAAGACGAGGTATGATAAAGCTCATGGAGCAGTGAGAGAGAGGACCTAGTAGCGATCAGTGAAGCGGCGGGGCCAGGAGCTGAGTCTCGACCCCTGCAACCACAAATATGTGAGTACAAATAGGTGATTACACACACACACACACAAGGTACTCCACCCATCATGCCAGATCATAGTCATGCTGGAACCAGTTGTTTCCTCTCCTTTCTACCCTTTACAGTTATTTAGAATAAGTATCATCCACAAGTGAAAATTAAAAGTCTTAAGAAAATAATATTAACAGTCAGATATTCAGATAATTCATTGGTAAAAAAATAATGATCAGCTGTCAGACAAGTGCTGTGAGGACAACATAATAATTACATTAAGAAACAAAAGTAAACAATATATATTTACAGAGGAATTTGACGACAAGTGTTGCTTTTGTGCTGCTCAGTCTCCGGAAATAAGGCAGGTCCTTCAAGAAGTCTTCCCAGATCAGACAGGCCACAGAATTTCCACAAGTTGACAAAGAACTGTTGGAAAAAAGTCACTTAATATACTGACAATAACATACGTTGTTGTTTGAAGGAATTATATTGTTTCAAAATAAATTTGATGAAGGTTTATATAAAAGATGCCAGGCAAGAATATAATATTTGAGCGAAGGATTTAAGAAGAAAACAGCCACCAATCACTCACTTTCATAAAGAGTAATTGCCATCTAAATAATTTATTCTACCGGTTAGAATACTTTATCAACCAATGATATGTCAACAACACTACCATATGCTACAGAGATCACACAAGTGAGAACTTACTGACATGACTCGGTAGATGCACACACTCTCAACACTCACATGTTTAACTTTCCCCTTCATTATCAGGAGACAGTCAACTTTTTGACTATAACACCTGCAGGAATGTTGAGGTGGACGAGATTTCTCAATGACTGATGTTTGGTCATGCTCCAAGAAAGGTGAATATTTTGAGTAGACATTTGACATCCCGGGCCTAATTTTTTAACTACACATGTGTATAGTACCTCCGCTCGAATTTCATCATATTTTCTTTACTTTTCATTATTGCTGTGGAAATTCTAAATTCTCTTTTAAGTCCTCATGAAGTTTCATTTAGAACAATACATATGAAAAGAAATTGTTTCTAAATAAAAGACATCAGTTCTCAACGAGGGACCAAATTTAACATAAAAAGAGATACATTAACCTTTTTCAATGATAATTAAACAAAACCTTTACTATAATTACTCCCTATTCTGTGTTCATGTGTTTTTTCTCCTTGATCAGTTTAGGGCAGCCATCAGAGATACAGGTCCCACAGACTTGTATTTTATATAATAATTATAAATAAATCATAATTAAACAAAACCTTTACTATAATTACTCCCTATTCTGTGTTCATGTGTTTTTTCTCCTTGATCAGTTTAGGGCAGCCATCAAAGATACAGGTCCCACAGACTTGTATTTTATATAATAATTATAAATAAATCAAATATATCATAAGAAGAACACAGTCAACATAACCAAAATCTCGCAATGTCTTATTTAAAAGAAAATAGACAGGAATAATTGGCGATAAATAATGAGCTGTAAATTTAATATTTGTATATATAAAGGTCAATGAAAATAAAGTTCGTGTTGGATTTAGTTGTGGAGGGACTGAAATGTAAATTCAATAGATACCATGGAAAACAAGAAGATAGACGTTGTACAACTCATGTTTGAAGCTGATTACAACATCAGAAGATATACTCAAGCTGTAACAGAGCTGACAGGAAGAGAAATTGGAACGCTTCCGTAAATGTAATTATTGATGCAGTTAGCTACTTAAAATTGGGCTCACTATTCCAAGAACAATTGCTGGATCTTAAGTGTCTACTAAAAATTAACCCCAGCCAATGCAAGTTTAGAAAAATTGAGGAAAAGCCAAACATTACTGCCTATGGAGTACAGACTTGAGTCATAAAAGTTGACTGCTGTAGGTTGCATCCTGGGAACAAAATCGACCCAATTTGCCCGAAATGCTCTGCATTACCAGGTGCTTTATATATAGTAGTAGTATGTCAGTGGTGTGAGCTACGCCTGTGTACTTTACTTTGTACATATACTTGTAGAAATAAAGATTATTGTTACTATTATTATTATTATTATTATTATTATTATTATTATTATTATTATTATTATTATTATTATTATTATTATTAAGTGTAATGCTAGGAATCACTGAAGCAATACATAAACTAAATTTCCTCTCTAGCCACTGCTCAGTCGACAAAACTAATATTAGCAGAGGCACATTTCAAGTCAAGATTCAAATTACCTATATGAATGTCAGGACATATTTATTCAGTCTAAAATAGGTCAGGAAGTGGAACCATTTGGACAAAGTGGTGGAAGCAGGTTTAATACATAATTTTAAGAGCGCGTACAATAGGCTCCACGATGTAGGGAGTGAGTGAACCTGGCAAGTTGCCCTGTAGGTAAGACTCTACAGCTGTAAGTACATATTTTTAACCACATACTGTATAGGTAAATACACATAGACACACATATACACACGTGCAGGCACACACAAAATCACACGACACGAAGAAACATACGCTCACACAAACATACACAACCACGCGTGTGTATATGAATGCATTAACAGGTGCACAAGTTTTGCCTCATGGGAGACATCACACTCAACCCACCGACTGGAAGCCTTGCCTTAAGAACAACAAGCTCCAACACAAACAGTCCTTCAACAACATCCCCTTCCCTCATCTCGCTCTAACACAAAACTGCAGAACAATCCATGCTCCTACCCCTCCTCCCTCACCAACACTCCTATTCCTACCCACACAAGTGTAGAATCGTTTCTCACAACTTTCCCTCATCCCAGCCTCCATCCTCTCCCCTTTCCCTTTCTTCCCATCCAACTTCACCCCCACATTCAGTCCCACGACTTTCTAGTGCAAGATCAATCCCCCACAACTAGCTTTAACCTTAAACCCAAACATCCACCCACTGTTTTACTCACTTCTCCCCTGAAACATCGACAAGAACCAGGAGAACATGGCCCCAAAAACATGAACACAGTATTGGAAAGGAAACTGACAGTGTGTACGCTAATCCAGATGAAATAACCAATAAGAGCAATGAATAGAAAGAGCAAATAATGAGGCTTCTTTGGCTTCACGGATTTGATTACTGATCTGGATTTCCCAGAAGAATAACGGATAGTGAGAAAAACAGTGGAAACAGAGCAGGTGGAGGACTATCAATGCTAATCAAGAATCTGGATTTTTGCAGAGTAGAACAGAATAACTGGAGAGAAGTCGAACGACTACATAACAGAGACACACAGAACTGAGGGACCCAAGGTGATTATAGCAGGGATGTACAACCCACTACTCAATAACAAGAGATCAAGACAGGATTATGAAGACAACAGGGCAGCTGAGGCCCCAGTAGCAGAGGCAGTTAGTAGAGCCTACATGAGCAATGCGAAACTACTGATCATGAGAAACTTCAGCCATAAGGAAATAGACTGAAAAAGTCTGAAGCAACACGGAGGAACGAATAAGTGAAGTACTAAGCAAGTGGTGCTGGAAAACTTCATGTGTCAACATTTCAGGGACATACACATGCATACACTCATCAATATCCATCACGAAATATAATATCTAACACATTGCTGACTCTTTCATAATAATAACAAATATGTATTGTTACGCAGATGAGTAACAGGATCACACGACTATTAATGATGCAAGGTGCACCTCACTGAATTACCCTCATGCTTCTTGCATGTATCATAATAAACAAAATATAACATATTAAATAAAAAGCAATTACACTTTTTAAACCTAAGAGGTAAAAGGAATCTGACCTGAGGACGCCACCGTACACCGCAGCCACAAAAATGCCAGGAATTCCAGTCAGGTGAGCCAATCTGTTCATCACGAGGTATGGAACGATCTGATCAGGTTTCTCTATCCTTCCTGATGTGAGTGGGTCACAGTCTTTATAAACAGCATAAGCAACCAGGCCGGAGAAGTAGAATACTATCCACATTATGTACAGTCCAACAACGAATGAAATGCATAATCTGTAATAAGGAAAGTATACAACAGTGACACTTCTTTTAATTGACTTAAGTGTTCCATCATATTCATATTAGTATTATACATAAGTTCTTATATGTATAATTATCACAGTCATTCTCCTGAGAGTACAGTCCTGCAGTAACTGCAGTGGATTCTTTAAGTTTAAGAAATTAACAATAACCCTATTATTTTTCGTGGAATAAATCATTAAGGAAAAGCATTTAAAAATGTCTCAAGCAACAAGAGTTAATCCTTTTAATAGCATAGGTGAAGGATGTATGTGAAAATAGAAGGGCGTTTTCAGGAATTTACTAGAGCCATCGCCATCCTTAGCTAATGTGACTAACATTAATGTATCAGAGACTATATACACTTCGTTATCTCGAACCAAATATGACACAAACTTGGTTATTAACGGGAAGACTAAAACAATTTCAGTATTGTAATTATTTTGTGAACAAAATATATTACTTCCCAGATACCAACTTTCTGATTGTAAAAATCAATATTAACCACAAACTTTGCATCAACAAAACAAAGTTCAACAAACTCAATTATTATTAGTACAATCATGGTAAATCGTAATTTCCCAGGTCTTCAGATAGGAAACTTAATAAATTGTCAACTGAAATTTTTGCGAACAATGAAGTGGCGTCAAAACTAATGAAGGCAAAATAAATAATGGTGAGTTTTACACTAAGAATATTTTGAAATAAGAAAACTAAAGTTAAGTGGTACAGATATGTTGATGTTTTATGGTTAATGCGCAGGAATGTAGATACCTGGAGTATACCTGAAGAGAGTTTCGAGGGTCAACGCCCCGCGGCTCGGTCTGTGATCAGGCCTTATGGTGGATCAGGGCCTGATCAATCAGGCCGTTACTGTTGGTCGCACGCAACCCGACGTACGAACCACAGCCCGGCTGGTCAAGTACTAACCTTAGGTGCCTGTCCAGTGCGTTCTTAAAGACAGCCAGGGGTCCATTGGTAATCCCCCTTATGTATGCTGGGAGGCAGCTGAACAGTCTCCGGCCCCTGACGCTTATTTAGTCTCTTATCGTGCTAGTGGCACCCCTGCTTTTCATTGGGGAATGTTGCATCGTCTGCTGAGTCTTTTGCTTTCATAGGAAGTGATTTTCGTGTGCAAGTTTAGTATTAATCCCTCTAGGATTTTCCAAGTGTATATAATCATGTATCTCTCCCACCTGAGTTCTAGGGAATACAGGTAGAGGAACTTCAAGCGTTCCCAGTAATTGAGGTATTTTATCTCCGTTATGTGTGACGTGAAGGTTCTCTGTACGCTTTCTAGGTCAGCAATTTCACCTGCCTTTAAAGGTGCTGTTAGTGTGCAGCAACAGATAAAACAAGCGACCTGAAGAGTGTCATCATGGGCTTGGCATCAGTAATTTCGAAGGTTCCTATTATCCATCCTGTCATTTTTCTAACAGATGCGTTTGATACAATGTTGTGGTCTTCGATGGTGAGATCCTCTGACATTATTACTCCCAAGTCATTTACGTTAGTATTTCGTTCTATTGTGTTATTGGAATTTGTTGTATACTCCGATATAGTTTTAATTTCCTCACGTTTTCCATATCGGAATAATTGAAATTTATCATCATTGAACTTCGTATTGTTTTCTGCGGCCCATTTAAAGATTTCCTGGTCATTTCCTTCCTGCC